CATGCGTTTCACCAACTTGTCACCCGATCCAAAATATTCGGGGTGGAATTTTTGACCAATCAAATAATTCCGTGGTAAACAGCGAAATCGGCCGTTTACAGCGGTTATGGCATCTTTAGTCAAGACAGGGTGACCGTATGACAAATTTATAATTACTACAACCAATCACCACGCTAATTTTTGTGTCCCGTGACAAACTTCGTTATAAAGCAACTAGTACAATATACAAAAATCCTGCAACCGAACTTCGGTAACGGAATAACGAGGTTTACTAATAAAATTCGTAATAACGATCAAATTTAAATATTAAAAAAAAGGGGGAAAGTAACACTTGCTTCGGTATAACAAAAATTCGTTATAACGCATTTCGTTATAACGGGGTCCTACTTAACTTTTGTGTATGTGAGTATGCAAATAATTATTCCATTTTATTTTGATAACTGATACGAGAAATATGCTTATTTGGAAAATTAGATATTGTGATTCGATTATCAACACAAATATACTGTATATGAAGTGGAATGTGTATTAAATTTAAAACTAAATAAAATACAAAGAGATACAGACTTCAATTCAATCATGTCTTTGAGTCGTAACCTGAAAGTTATAAGCCTCCCGGTCTGATTTACCGCGGTTGAGCTTGATGTTATAATTCAGTATTTCAACTTATTATGTATATACCAAAGTTTACTGGCTGCTCATGTAGATAATTTTCGAAGTTACTAGCTTTATAAAACAAATTTACTATATTTGCGTTAAATTACTCGAGTCACATAATCTTGTACTTGACAGGTATATCGACTAAGAGAAAAAAGGTTGTTATCGTTATAGCTAACCAATGAGTGTTAAATGGTGATGGTGGCTGTAATTGCGTCCAATGTTTAAAATACGAGGACAACTTATTGGGATTAAATATCAAATACATAGAAATAAAATCGTATTGAATCTAAAAATCGAGAGTTATCCCTCGTTTTCCGCAGCATTAATTACTTCTGTATTAATAAGTCAGAGCTCCATATACTCTCCATAGAAACGGCAAAGCTGTCTTGAAAATGTGAATGAAATAACCCCAATCAGTAAAAAAAAGAAATAGAATAATTTACATATCCTGTAAATTCTGATTTACACTTACTTGGTTGTTCTCCAATTATGTATATTTTGGATAACATGTAAAAGTAAACTTTAACGTTATCAGGTTCGACGGCGCTTTTGAGTGGCTTCTGCAGAAATTTCCTGAAACGTTTCGTTTTGCCTCTTGGCACATGCCGAAAAAGTTTCTTTACAATAGCAGGAATTGATTTGGTACTTGGATGACATCTTTTAGCGGCTGACAGTAGCAACTATTAGAATACCAGCTAAGCAAGTGTGATTAACTTACAAGAAGTCTGTGCTTATTATTGAAAATTACGGAGTGAGAATTGTTTATTAATTGTTATTAATAGATCTGTTGGTTTCCACTTTTCAAATAAGCTATAAACCTTTTAATTTGATCCATTCATTGAGACACAGTGAATAAAACTTTTATTCCGGTTTTTTTTGACACACTGTGACAATATTATTTATGTGCGCGCTTCGCTTTCACTCCCTATACGATGTATTTCTCCTATACTCGTATCTAAATAAGGGTACCTACGATAAATAAACAACAACAATTTATCTACCGCAGAATCGAAGGGGAAATTTTAATACTAATTTTTAAACAAGGGCGAACTTTGATTTAGTGTTTTGACTAGTCAAGGAATGTCACTTATCTAATTATAACAACAAAGAATTTAAATTATCAATTGAGATACTCTTGCTTTACTGCAACTACAGGTCGTTACCGATCTATTGCGCTGACAACTAACGTTTAAATACAGCTACGGGTCGTTACCGATCTGCTGCCGATAGTTAAGTCAAAAAGCTTAGTTTTCGCGACGATAGAAATAGAAATAATGAAAGTAAAAAGGTTTCGTAATAACTAAAGGATAAAGATTAGATCGATCGTTTATTATATCCGAATACTTCAGTATCGAATATTATTTATTTCATAATATCAACAATTTCAACATTTTCAACATGAGGATTTTTGACGGTCTGGGGCGGGCTCCTTATATACATTTTGCTGTTACTAAAATCGTGTTACTTTTTCTACGCCACAGAGCGCGTATTTTCTATCCTTCCCACGCTGTCACCAAAAATCGCGTTACTCGCGTTATTTTCTATTCTTAGCTACATTTTGTATTCAAAACTGTCACCAAATTTTCGTTACTCGCGTTGTTCTGTTAACATCTAATTAATGGATCGTCAGGAGTATTATTTGATTGCTACGGAGAAAGATTTTACCATGTGACTTGCTTATCGACGTCAGCCGATCATTTCGGCAGGATAAACCGCACTTTCGTATTACAAATCCAACTGATTAATACAGTATATCGAACGAAAACTACACTGCGATTTCGTACTACATACACTATATAGAGGCATTCTAGACTACAATTAATCAAACGTATTTTCTCCACTAATACTGCATAGTTTCTATATAAATACACTGTATAGAGCTAGTTTAGTAGGAGGAAAAAAAGTTTCCAACATTTCTCCACAATAACTGAAATCCACTGTAACGGAGGTCCACTATAAAGAGAGTCACTGTGTACTTGTATATAGTCGGGTAGAGGCAATTGCAGAATCTGTTTTTAGCGTTAGATATATAGTTTCTCTTCACGTTTCAGTTGGGTTGATAGTTGTAATTTGTAATATATAAGTAATGTATGTATGTGAATAGTTGAATATGGCGGGCTAGGGCGAGCGAGTATGCAACATATTGACGGCAGATGTCAAAGTCTGCAAATAAAATAAGCCATCGGAACGGTCTCTACTGTAAGTTTGTGTTTATCCAGAAAGGACTTAACGAAAACCTCAGCTAATGAATGAAGAGTGTCTGTTGATTCATCGGATAATGTTTCGCGCACAGTTGATTTGGTTAGTGGGGTTATGAAGACATTCTTCTCAATGAATCATCGAAAGTCTTCATTAATTAGTGCACTGAGGGTTTACGAGTGCGTTACATCAAAAAAATGCTATTCAAAAACTTTGGAGCCTGGGGCTGCGCTTTTTGGACAATTCACACTTGTAGTTGGTTTTTTTTTTCGCATTTGTTTCCGCTCCCGTTCTTATTTTCGGTGATCGTAGTACAGAATTTCGTCAATGATAAGTTTCCTATATTAATATTGCTCAGCCTTCAAGATAAAAGTTTGTAAACATCAGTCAAGTATATAATTACAGTAAGGCGACCGATAATACCCACAATATTTACCTTCATATAACAAAATCGCACTTTCTTCCCTTAAAGAAGTACCGAGTTATTTGCATATGTATTATGTACGAAAACGTGTGTCGATCCTTTGTTCCACGAGGTTTGTCCATTGTTACGCAATCTTGTGACAAGAGACAAAATATTCGACAAGGTTTCTGTAAATGGGTGTATCCGAGACAAGAAGATTGAGCTTAGTTCAAGCCAAACAAAAATATAAACGATTTTACTGCATCCGGAGATGTTTGCGAAAATAATTGAGAGCTGTCCTTGCACTCCCGAAGAGTCAATTGTAGACAATACAGGAACAGAGCAACTCGAATATATATTACTTGCATACGAAATATGAATAACTCATGGCTCACTTTCTGAAGAAGGAATAATAAACAGAGGATTGATTTAATAATTCATCATTGATGTTATCCATCAAGTATTCGTTGAACTATGGCCTATTACATGCATTCTCCATAAACTATGTCATGAGACTGAATAATAATATAGTCTTGCTTGCCCTGTGTTTATTCACAAAAAGATGCATAGCATGGTATTTTTACCAACTTGTAGTTTTATTTAAAGGAAAACTTTGAGCTGCATTGCTTATATAACTGTCTACAGTTAGATAGCTGTTTTAATTGATATTTTAACACGTTGACAGGTTAAAGAGCTTCTCTTGCTCACTACAAAGATATCGCTAACGTCCGAAGAATCACTTTGAAGCATAAGTAAGTCATTTAAAGTGCAAATCTCACCACAATTGGATACGTTGGTAGTACTAGCTGAAATTTAATCCTGAAATTCATTTGTGTGGCGTTAGTTTACTAGTCCGGTTTGTATCATAACCCACTGATCACTACCGTGTGTGCGCCTTTATTCATTTCTTCTTAATTCTCGATGAATATGTTAAGAAGGTCACCTCGCACTCTTATACGAGTATCGAGAGCGAACGTATCTCATATTACAGGAAATACTGTGCCAGTATTTTTGCAATGCTTTGGTGTAGTAGGGAAGAACGTTTTTCGGTAAGAATACCGTATAATTTTTCGATAAGAGTTGTCCTGTGGCCCGCTTTGACTTTAATTCATTTATTAGTGGAATACAGCCGCGGAATCCGCGTATGCGGTTTAATCGAACTCTATTGGACTTCTCATTTGTGAATCGACGTTACTATGGCTCTGAGTGTAAGGAATTGCAATTTAAGTTGAACAATTATTTCTAGAAAGAATTCTTTCGGTATATGATTGTTTCGTATGTCCGGCTGCTTACTCCAGCTTCTCACGGCATTTGAAGAATGAGAAGATTCGATAGCTTGTCTCAATACACGGAAGCTAATGATCGTCGTGATACCTCTCTTTAATCCCAGCCTATCCTTCGCATACTGTAATTTCCATGCCGGCTCTCTCTCCAACCATGACGATGGGCAGCGTAGGGACATGGAAAAAACAAATTGGAGATTCTGTAGTGCCTGGTGATGTATTGGTGGAAATCGAAACAGATAAGGCTCAGATGGATTTCGAGTGTCAGGAAGAGGGTTATCTAGCCAAGATACTTGTTGAGGCAGGCGCGAACGACGTTCCCGTTGGCAAAGTAAGATATCTTTTACTTTTATTGTAACGTGTCTCAGGAATGTTTGTGTCTTCAATCATTCTTCTATTTCGTTAATGGACTGACCAAATGACTAGCCTATTGCCATTTTAGTCGAAGAGAAAGAAGATATAGATAAATTCGCTGATTATGCCCCGGAAGAGACATCACCGTCGACCAAAGCAGAGCAGCCCAAGGTGGAAGTCGATAATGCAAAGAAAGAAACACAGTCGAAAGACACTAGCCGAGCGTCGACCGACCGCATATTTGCTAGTCCTTTGGCTCGTAATATTGCAAGCGAGCGAGGAATTGATCTTGCGCAAATAAAAGGAACAGGTCCTAATGATCGCATCATTAAGGCTGATGTAGAGAATTATATACCTTCGGCGGCTTCCCAAAGTCCAGTGACATCCAGCCAAACTGCTTCACCTACAGCTACGTATACTGACATACCACAGTCGAATATCCGCAAGGTCATTGCGCAACGGCTGAGCGAATCAAAGCAAAATGTTCCTCACTATTATTTGACGGTTGAAGTCAACATGGATAAAATACTGAAACTTCGGGAGGCGCTTAATCGTGATAGTGATGGTAGTTATAAACTATCTGTAAATGACTTTGTCGTGAAGTCAGCCGCATTGGCACTCAAAAATGTGCCTGAAGTGAATAGTGCATGGTACAACGACTATATTAGACAGTTGAGTAAGATTTAACTTGCGAATTCGGTATAGAATAGCACATTCGGTCTAATCATATGCGTCCTTCTTATGTAGATATCACACGGCCGATATTTCAGTTGCAACTGCGACGCCAACTGGATTAATTACACCCATAGTGACAAATGCTGACACGAAAGGATTGGCTATTATATCCAATGAGATTAAAGAGATGGCCAGACGGGCACGAGAGGGAAAACTAGCACCAAATGAGTACCAGGTAAGAAACAGAATAAACAACGTTCACAATAACCATACACCAAGTTTACTATTCAATGCTCATTCTGACGTCGAATTATAACAGGGTGGAACGTTCGCCGTATCTAATCTCGGGATGTATGGCATTAAGTCGTTCACTGCTATTATTAATCCTCCACAATCGTGCATACTTGCTGTTGGATCAACAACGCAGAAAGTCATTCCTGACGCATCCAATGAATCCAGTTATAAAGTCGTCAATACTATGCATGTGACTCTTTCTTGCGATCATAGAGTTGTTGATGGAGCAGTTGGTGCCCAATGGCTGAAGACGTGGAGAAGTTACATTGAGAATCCACTAAAACTTTTACTATGAAATTGTATATCGTAGGCCAAGTGCTGATTAATCCACAACAAATCGGATGGATTCAATAAATATACTATCATTTAATTTGTTTTTTGTCTATTATTAGTGCTGTGTGTGGAAATAAATCTTACCTGCGGTGTAATTTTGTGTATATTCAATAATGAGTAACGTTTGACATTTCCACTGGTTCATCAAGCGCTGAATTATATCTTCCCGCAGGTATATGGTCGTATTATTGGATGCTATGATATCAACTTTAACAGGAGATATTTCAGTTTGAAATTTTGCAGATCAATTCTAGAATAATCTGCAAAAAAATCTCGAAATCTGATTGGTGCTCGACACCGTTAACATAGACGCGAATACTTCAAATAAATTTTGAAACCAACGATAGAAACATACTTTTACGAGTCTACAGTTTAATAATCCCCAGGAATCCCCACAACTTTACATAATAGCTTTCTATTAAATTGAGTTTAAAGATTATCCTTTGCTATACAATGAACGCAAAAGTAGAAGCCAAAAACTCACCTTGTCTCTTTGAGTCTCTCGTCAGTAAGTATTATGGACGTCAGTTGGCAGGATATGAGATAAAAGAGAATCAAAGATGGCGACGCGCATCAGCTAATACTGTAGCAAAGAAAATAACAGAAACGGCTAAGTATTTACTTGACTCGTTAGAGAATTATTCTAAAAAGTCTTTTATTAAATGAGCGACTGTAACAAATGACTCAATCTCTTTAGATCAGAAGAAAAAAAGAGAGAGAAAACTGAGACTCTAACGATAATTATTCGCTGGCATTCGAAAAAACTTTTTCTGACTTTAGCGTACAAGTATCCTTGCTAGATCCAGCATACGAAGTTCTTGTGAAACGGATACAAAAGCAGATATCAATCAACACTTATTATCCGGGAATGCAGTGTTAAAAAGCGGTTAGATGAAGTGACCAACAAGGTCGTATTAGATCTGTGACAGAAATCACTGAGAGAAACGAGGGTCCAAATCAAATTGATCCATGTTCAGGTTAAAGTATGAACGAGTCTTTTTTTATTTACAAGCGATTATTAACTTTCGTACTAGAGTTCGTTTCAATAGGCCTTCATCAAGACTTGCGGCTAGAAGATTGTTTGCACTGATTTAGTCCTCTCGACGCCACCTGATTTACCGATTGATTGAAATTGCCGATGAAGAACAGAAGTAATGATTGAAGCCTGGGTTCGCAATCTGATTGAAGAAAGGATTGTGACTTCCCGATCTAAACTTTTAAATCAACATCGAGGCCACGGCGCAATATTAGAAGAAATTCACAAAACACTCAAATCGTTAATTCCTTCTACACCTTCACAGCGCCATCTCTTTTAGGCGATTTGCAAAGATCAAGTTTTCGAGGCTTATCGAGTCAATCCGCGACGACTTAATGAACTCTTCAAGAAGTTAGAAGTGTATTGTCTGAAAACATTATTAATACTAATAAAGAAAAGACCAAGTTGAAATATGTTGTCCGAAACGTTATTGATGGAATTGTCCTACAAAGATTTCTGGAAATTTCCATTATTTTTTTCTATCATAAAAGGAATGATCTACATTGACAAATCGGGGAATCTCTCTGACTGTATTTACAGCTCAATGCGCGAAGAAAAAACCGTATCCATAAGAACGGTTTAATATTCTCGTTCACGATGCAAATACAGTTGTTAAAGCAGCAGTCAATAATAAGAAACAGTCAATGTTGGACGGTTTTGTTGCCAGAATGTAGTGTTTTTTCAATTAAGACGAATACCTGATAATTTCTTGTATGACGATATACTATTATGAAAAGGATTCTTGGTAATTACGATAACCTGCTATAACAATGAGATATGACCTGACTGACGTATCGTTACGACTGTACATTATATTATATTGAGTTAAATTCGTCCAGCGCCAGTGCTGGGATATGACTGAAGTGTGATTTGTTACTGTGGGAATCGATACCGAAAGACGTGCGCGTATTGTTATACGCGTAGATTTAACAGTATTAGTATGTTGATTGAAAAAGAATTAAAGTATTTGTTATTATTATGTACGTGTATATGTCCGAGTTTTTTACAGGTCTTTATGCGAGAAAAGGTTCAAAAAAGTGATTAATAATGTTTGCTTGACACAATTGACTTTGCTCAAACGTCAAACCCTATATTATTTTTATGGAATAATGCCGGGACAGTAAACAACTGTGCAACGAGAACAAAATTTTCTAGAATGACCCATCTTACCATTGCGTGATACAGTGTGTAAAGAAATTATTGGCAATTACATATTTGATCACTGTGCAACAACGATTATAGCAGTCAACATGATTAATACCTCGTTCGATAGCTAACATGCAGTAGATTTATTAACAAAATTTCAATACGATATTCTTTCTCCATTGCTTTCAATAACTAA